ACAGATTAATATTCATCTTGAGTAATTCATTGACATGTCATTTCGGATTCCAAGTCCATACAAGAATAGTTTTGAAAATATTTTTGAGGTATCAATTTTTTTGTTATTTTTATTTGGGAAGTTATATAAAAAACATTTGGAAATATTTGGAATTCAGGTCAGTTTCTGTGAAACACTACATTGAGGTACATTTTTTCCCTCAAATTCATACTGTCTGCGCCAAAACTTGATGCTTAAAAAAAATTTGCATCAAATTTGTAGGTGCACTGAATGGAGTACGAGCAATGCTCAAAAATGAAACCTCAGAACAAATGCAACAAAAATATGATCAGATCCCACAAAATGAGTCTAAAAGAAATTTTTTCATTTAATTCATAAGTATTTCATATGCATTAGAAAGAACATCCACTGCTCTTCAATATGACATTCTGAAAAAATAGGGACGTTATTTGGGTAACATCGTGATAATGTCTTGTTGATTTTCGATCATGCCGAATTTTTTCATCACGACTCATTCTGTTGGGTTTTAAGTCACAAACAGTCGTGAAACACAAAATATTGTACTGCAAGGACTCTCTGTGTGAGGACACTAGAGGGCGCTATTGTGGCCTACCCAAACGAGTTGGCACATTTCCCAGGAAACTGCTGGTGGAAAATACCAGGAAATACTTTCGAATCAATACAGGGAAGTGATTGTTCCAAAAGCTCATACATAGAAAAACTGAGTTTTATCGTGCATAAAAAAATATGTGAGAACTAACCAATCTTATGAAAATTCTGCGTGTAGTTTGTATATTAATTTAAAGAAATATTGTCTGTGCTGTTCAACAAATTCAATTTTTTTCTTCTCCACTAAATTTTGTACCACGAGTGTTTTTTTTAATAAAAAAAACTTATATTTTTCCCGCTCTTGTGAGCATTTGCAACCCTCTGAAAAAAAGGCTTTTTGTTAAATTTTTTTTTTGGCCCACAATATCCATCCTGCAAGTGATAATTCAACATTTGTAAAACCTTACAAAAAGGTGGGTATTTTTTTTCATCAGACAATGTCTCATTTAAAAATGGATAACTTTTGTATTGCTAGAAAAAGTAGTGATTTAAATACAAAATATTTTTTTTCGGATTAAAAATTCAAAACACACAGACAATATGTCTTTAAAGTTTACACAAAAGTGCCGTTTATAATATATGAGATATGAGATTGTCATTTGTCATTGTCCTACAGTGAATGTGCTTCTGTTTTGTGTTTAAATGAAATTATTCAATTTTTTGGGTAAGTTTATAGAAGTCAAGACAACTTTAAAGGTGGGGAATATAATATGTCATTTGTGCATTTTGTTTGTTTGAAGCAACAAAAGTGATCTAAAGACGGGTACTTATTAACAACTAACCTGATGAAGTTTTAGCTCTGTGAATGCTGTACATTCTGAGAAAACAGTATTCTAAGATTTCGGTTTCAATTCAAAAGTTACTGAGTCATGTTTTCAATTGCGCCCGAAATCAGCATCCGGGACACGTTCTCATTCAGCCGATTGCAGCTACGCGGTGTCCCGCACTAAACTGACAAATGATACCAAGCGCGCCCGCATGTGCGCTGTGACAACGCTTGCACGTACCCATACACGGATTCGCCGAATTAAAAAACCAACTGCCAATGGAAATTTCCAAAAATGCGTCACTCGACGCATCTTCGGAAAAGGCCTTCTTTTATTGTTTTCTTCAAAATGACAACACTCCAGAAAGAATAATTTCACAGGGAGTTTAGTGACATTACAATCTTTAAACCAAGCAAGCACTTCAACGATAATTTTGTCAGTAAGTTTTTGGATAGCTGCAAATGATCTACTCTACCGGTACCTTTAAATCTTCAGCTGACAATAGTTTCCCCTACGTGTATTTCCCAGTTATTTTCCACCCAGCCATACGTATTTCCTGGACAGTGTTTCCCGGGGTTTCCCAACCACTACTTCCCTTTTTAGTAGTTCCCAAGCAAGTGAGTGCAAACATAACAAGTGTGTGCGCGTGGAAGTCAAGCCGCACGCGTGCACACAGTTTCCAATTGAATGTACATGTACACGTACATGTACATCGATCCGTACACAGCATGGGCACACGCCGGTAATGGCACTGAAGGGCCCTTGCCTACAGTAATTTTGTCATATGTTCAACCGCTGAGGGCATAAGTAATAACACTATGAGGCTATGTGGTACATGTAACTCAATGCAGACAGGGCTGTCCTCAAACAGCGAACTGGCTCACACTAGGCCGAGAGATCATCACCGTGGACTGTGTTAATGACTTGGGGTGTACATGTACACACTATTTTCTTGACAATTTGTAATGTACCGGTTACCTGCCACGTTTTGACGTTTCCATTTTGGATGTGTTCACCGAGAGTTCAACTGACCAGCTCTGACACTATACCTTTCACTTCACAGAATCAATAATGGAAGTGAAAAATGTGAATTCACGTAATTTGTTTTCACTACACAACATGTTTGGTTTTTGAGCTGCGTAAACATCCTGTAGTTCACAAAGTTGAAGTGATGAAGTATGTGACAAAAAGTAAAGTAAAAATTTGATTTGAGTTCTATTTCCTTGTATCTCGCCTTGGTGCCCCTGAAATGACAAACTTCCTTTTTCAATGATAAAATTGCCTCTCCTCCTGAACAACACAACTGTAGACCAACTGTCACATTCTCACGAAGCGTACATGTACATACATGTACACTGTACAAACCATTCTCATATCTTGCCCACTGACCATCTGTACAATATAAATTACTATATATTAGTTCTGTCTATGTTTACAGTTGTCAATTTACAGGTATGCACAGCTCCTGATGATTATACTCCCAACCACATTATTGGCTTAATGATGGTTCAACCATACCCCTTAGGCTGCTAAATATTGATACGATCAGAGTCGGACGTTTCCCCCTGCGAGACAGTTATTTAGCATCTCAGCATCTCAAGAGAACATGATTAGTAGCTTTGGTCTATTTTTTCCCAAAATGGAAATCAGATACTCAGATGGTCATTTCAACAAAGTTAGTAAACAAATAATGCATATTTATGAGTGCAATGGTAAGAATAATTTCATGAGGTGACGGATGGAATGTTACCCATGCCGATTGGAATGGAACATTCCATCTGTCACCGAATGAAAATATTCTTTCCATTGCACGAATGCGAAACATTCATTATTTTTTTAATACAACACCTGAATAAATCCTCGTCATCTGATTGGTCAGAACCGCCAAAACTGTGACCGTGCAATGGAACTTCCATTTAACGTGGAATGGAACTTGTATTTTTGCAGTGTGGCCACCCCGTATGTTGGGACGAATAATTCAATGACATGTGATCAACAACCCACCAATCAGATGACAATATTCATTCAGGCGTTGAATAATATAAAATTTGATCAATGACTCTTCATTGACGGCACAGTAGTCAATGATGATTGGACTAGTCGGACTGACCGTTGGAACCAGCCCATCAAAGTTTTTAGCATCACCGGGTACCAACAGCCACACACATCCTGCGCTACAGCACAGGGAGCTTAGGACTGCAAACTTGTGTGATGTTTGATTATAGCAGGACCCGGGATCGTTCATACATGGGCTTTGCAGTTAGCGTGCAGGTTTATGTTACGTCACAAATCAACCACTTGTTGATCAATGGTTCTTGTACAGGTTGAGTAAAAAAAACACCCAAAAAACACCAAATGTCGGGACTATTGTTTTATTGAAGTTATGCACACAAAAGGTGTGCGTTCTTTCAGCAAAAAGAAAACAATTCACACACATCCCTATGTGATTTTTTTTCGTTTTGCTGAAAGAACACTGAATTTTTTTTGTGATCCGTGGACAGAACCTTAAAACGGTGGTTATGTTGAAAATTCCGTAACTTGAAAAGTACATAAGTGATTTGAATGATTCCTTTACTAAGAGAAAGCTTATGAATTGGGCTTTCATATCCTAGATTTTGAAAGTGCTATATGAAGAACTTCCCTAAAACAATGGTCCCAACATTTGGGGGGGCGTGTTTTTTTTTTCTCACCCTGTATGATTGAACTCGCTCATTCATGTAACCTCAACTTCATATGCACCAAACTCCTAAAAATAAATTTTGTGACTGACTGACAACCTTGTACTCAAAACACAACATGACAGTGTTTTTTTGTTGAGTTCTTTCACAAGTCCAGTCACCTGGTCACAAGTCCTTTCATAAAGCCAGTCACAAGTAACTGGATGGACAAAAAAATGCTTTTGTAACCTTTCATTTGAATAGCTAGTGACTTGACTTGAGAATGATGGACTTGTGATGGGCTTGTGATGGACTTGTGATGGACTTGTGATGGACTTGTGATGGACTTGTGATGGAGTTGTGATGGACTTGAGATAGACTTGTGATGGCCTTGCAGGGACTTGTTTGGACTCAAATACAACACTGCGACATGATAAAAGTACTTCTCGCTCAGACCATTAGATAAATAAGGAGTTGTGATAGCAAACCTACGATAAAGAACCTTTTAAAAAGGGGATCATGTATGTGACCCTTCAGCACAAAACAAGTCGGAAGTTGCACGGCCTTTTTTGAGATACAGCCTATACTACAGTTTATTATACATGTACATAGAAAATAGGTGGAAAATGGGAACAGAAAAGACATATAACCCTGTCAGATTGTGTCAGATCCCCAAATTTCTATACATGTACATGTACATCATTGGAAAGCTTATTCAATGTCCTTTCCAATGAGCCTAAAATACCAAGTTTTCAAAGAATTGGTCCAAGTGAATGGTTTTGTGCCAGAGGGTCACATACATGTATGTGAACTTTCATGAAAAACTGACCGATGTAGAACATGTGCATGTGAATACATAACGTGGTATGTCAAAATCGGGCAATTTTGGGCAAGAAGTCAATTTTGAGTTATTGCAATATGAGAAAAATATAGACCTTGTTTTTCACACGCTGCATTGTCTTTTGAAATTGGATATTCCAAAACGAAGTTATTGAATTTTGAAATCGGACTGTCCGAAATGTCACGCTAATTTTGCATCATTTCAGAACAAAATCCTGAACAAACTGTTATTTTGTAAAGTGACATCCCTCTCTAAAAGTGTTTAAAAACAACACTTTGTTGATGAAATTTCAGTTTGAAACTTTTATAGAGCATCTTAAACATTAGTAGCATCAGACATTTAAAAAAAATCTCATAATCACTGAAAATCACCTCATGTCATTTTGCAGCTTTTTCTCCATTCTAACTCTGCTCAATTCTGCCTGGTTTTGACATACCACGTCACATATCGGCAAAAGAAGGCAACTCCTTCACTTCTTACAAATGAGGAAAGAGTCCACAGAAATCCCGTGGAAAATTCATGTTCACAGTTCAGAGAATAGAAAATATTTTTCACAGCTTTGGGTTAATCAGAAAGATCATTGTTGACACTGGTTTGCTTGTGGCATTGTACAGTTTTAAGAGCTCCATGTGTTCCGAAATATTTCAGGAAAAAGACAGCATCCGTGTATCGCCATAAATGATAACCGCGCACAAAACTGATGTTGCTCCGACCGTAACAGTAGTCAGTGTGGTGTGACAAAACATACATCTGGTGTTCTACTGACAATCCAGCACAATCAAGATAGACGGAACATGGTACATGTAAAACCTCTCGCGACTGTTTGGCCGGGTTTCGTTACAGGCTTGTATTTCCACTAGTCGAGGCCAGGCGGTTGATCACATTCAATAACTCATGCAACGAACCATCCACTTTATATGAAGATTGCAAATATTCCCAAGCACATGCGTCTCCGTACAAAAACTTGTCACACTGGCACTGCCCAAATCCACAGTGGGCCAAAATTGCAGCTCGTAGCTCCATTTTCAATTTTTCTGCGGTGCTTGTGGCTTGCATCACAAAAATTGTCGTGTCGCAACTTCACGATTCAGTTTCGCACATTGGCACAATTTGCACACAAAGAAAAAGAAATTTCACATTTAAATAAACGCAAGTTCCATGTTACTGCACAATGGCTCCCCGCGTGGCTTGTTGAGGGCACTCCACACTTGGCGGCATGATCCGTGAGGACATACAGCTGGTTTCCAATGGATGGCTACCAGGGAAAGTGTCAACCCTGAGAGGAGATGCCAGATTCTGCCGCTGGAAACCACGATGCAACACTTCAGGAAGCAGCCGTTATTTTCCAGCGTACATTCAAACAAGCAGTGTGCCTCCCATCCCAGCAGCTCCACAAAAAGATAAACTCAAATCCGCTTGCTGTTCTTCGATGATTTAGTGACCTTTTTTGCAGTTTTCTCTTTGGAGTCGGTGTGCAGCTGGAGTTATCTACACTCAACGCAGCTTCAAAGCCGGGGAAGGCAAGTCCAACAAGTTCGCTGACCTCAAAGGGTCAAAGGTCATCATTGTGTTCCTTTATTTAAAAAACCCAAAAAACCTCAAAGCCGCACTGGTTTTGACATGTACAAAAAACGGCTCCAGCGTAAAAAGTTCGGCTTGATAAAATGTCCGCTCAAAATGTCACAAAATATATAAAATAGTCTCTAAATCTTCTGTGTCTGTACAAAAAAGTGGATTTTTTTCCAGGAGTTTTTGTTGTTGATTTTTCCTTTCCTTTTTCAAATCCATTTTAAGTTGGACGATGGCATGATGATGATGGGCAGTGCAATGACGTGGCCCTAGGGTCGTCGTCATAGCGTAATGCTGGGTCTGTATTCCAACATCAGGGGATATTGCTATCAAAATAAAAAAACAAATTATAAAGAGAAAGAACAAGAGAGAACATTAACTTCAAAATTTCCATTTTTAAGACTAGCACCCTTTTAATAACTTGTGCTGCCAAAATAAATGTTTGTGTTGTTGTTTTGTTTAAAGTAATTCACTTCTTGCCACGTGAAGCAACCTGCAATACAGGAATGTTGAAAGTTGTAAAAACCCAACATTCCTATAATTCTCTACTTCCTAAACACTTTTTTTTTTAATTTGGTGAAGCGTGCTGTTTTATATGCATGGCAAAAAGAACGGAAACAACAAACTGAAAACAAATCGAAAGACCTTTCTTTGAAACACATAATGGCCAAAATAAAATGGTGGCTAAGATGTGTACACTGTATTTTTCATTCTGTTTTGTCTCCCTTGTGTTGTCCGACACATAGTTTTTGTATACGTGTAAGCTGATTGAAAATGTTCTTACATGTATGAAAACAACAATATTATTACTCCCTGTACAGCCCCAAACCACAATGCCTATTAATAATAACAATGTGGTGCTATATCGTGCTTTATAGCAAAGGTCTCAAAGTGTTTCACAATTATTACCCCTGTTCAGCAGCCCATGAGACTATTTTTGCAGCAGCTCGAGATCAGCGCATTCTGGTCTCTACCTTCGCAGGTACCCATATATACTCCTGGTTGGAGAGGCAATTGTAGTAAAGTGTCTTACCCAAGAACACAAGCACCATGTTTCCCGTCAGGATTCGAACCCACGTACCATAGCACGTAAGTCCAACACCGTAACCACTAGACCACAGCGTTAGCTGTAGCACCCAAAACTGCCCTGAACACTCATGGAGTCATCAGTGTATACATACAATCATTTTTTATTTCAGGCTTCCATTTGTAAAAATATACCACCATATTGTATGCTTTCGTAAAAAGTACCCAGATGACTGCAACATTATGTCAATAAAGTTTCTGGATGAGTGCAATATTATTGATATTGCAGTCATCCCGGATTTTCGCAGGTTCCCGCACCATCTAGATCGTAGAAAGTCACAGTCAACCAGTCAACAGAGCGTAGCGCGCGGAATGGGGATGCAGCACGCAGCACTAGCAGGGTATACGCGCACTGTTATCAACAGCCACAATGGCAGCTTCGAGCGGCGCAATAATTCTGCAAAATTTGAGAAATAAAGGCAGTGTCCTGAAATGTATTTCTTGCGGATCAAGCTAGTCAGCCTAATATAAATAATAATAATAATAATGTTGGATGGCTTTTTTTCCGGGGGATACAAGAATATATTGCACTCGCTATAGAAATAATTTTGTTACAGCTCGTGTAGTATATTCTTGTATACCCCTCAAAGCCATCCAATATTATATAATTATACAATGTAGTACACATGTTAATGGATCACTGTAAATTAACACATGTCCATGTCCAACAGTATACACATGTATGTCATACGCATGTTATCATTCGGCATACACGTAGAACAAATAACCCACTTGTCATTCATGTCGACCATTTGTTGCCAACTGTCTGAGTGAAATCTACCCTGATTAATCCATCCCCCAAGATGTGAAGAAGTGGGGGGGGGGAGATAATGTTGGAATTTGAGTACACACAGATTTCCTCTCGGGAAGTGCGGGGTTGTAGGCACGTTTCCCCTATGTCATTATCTACTTCTTGATTCACGCTGGCGCTACTAACAAGATTGCTTGGGCATACACAAACACAGAGAGAAATGAGAACTCGATATCACATAATCATCTGTCCTGTGCAGGGGGGGGGGGGCAAATATCCAGGACAAACACGTTCTGGAAAAGGGAACTGCCACAGCTCAAATATGCATGCACTGTCAATTTCCGCGGGGAGGCTTTCCAATTCAAATAATGCGCATCTCCGGCATTATTGTAATGAGCGGACGTCTGCGGGCATAGCTCTAGACTCCGAGGCCTGTGAGCGGCGATCGGTGCTGGTTTTGTGAACACAAAAAAAATTATGGACGGTTGCTTTAGGGGAAGATCCAAAATGCATGCATAAAATGGTCGCTGCCGGTCGGCAATATTATTGCACTAAACACAAACTGTCTTCATATGCGACTGTTGCAAAGACTAACTGGCTCATTTTGAAATTTTTTTTTTTTTCAAAGCAGAAATGGTTTATTCAGGCATGCAACTGGGAATTTAGGGAAAATAATGAGGAAACTCCAAACCAAACAAGAGTTTGCACGGTGTTTTGTTCAATTTGTAATTGCATTCATGAGAAGTTAAAAACAAGGAAATCAGCGGATCTGAGGAAAAGTTGGACGCCCGACTATTATAACAAATTTCAATCCCCCGGCAGACCCAATTTTGTTCAAACACCGCTGGTGACATTCAAAAATATGCAGTGTGACTTGTCGAGGATTCAACACACCTAGCACACTTGCCAAAAAATATACCCTCTGCAAGGGCTGAGAACGTTTTAAAGGACGAATGCAATGTAATGTTTTTTAGTGCAATCCTTGAACATGCACCTTTGTGTCTCACTCAACCTCATTTTTCATTTTTGTCTTGCCCTTTTTGGGGTTAGTTTGGTTCCTTTTTGGTTTTTATGCTAATGCAAATTTCCATATTCATGATCAACAGTGTGATGTCATTCCAGGCAGAAACCTCGATGCTACAGCTATTTCAGTACCAAACAAAAGTTTGCCAGAGTGTTAGATATTTTGCTGTTGCAAAATTTTCTTTTCTTTGGTGATTCGTTGTTTTGTCACTAGTACACATGTACATGGCAGTAAGCCAACGAGCAAAACTTTCTCACCAATAATTTTCAATAACAAATTTTCTGGTTCACAATTTGAACAGAAAACCCCTACACTGAACAGTGTCTTCCTGAAATGACATCACAGCAGCAGCGCCCTCAGTTGTCCAGAAAAGCATGGAACATTTGAAATGTTTCAAGAAGTGCCCTTTTCAATATTGAATTAAGCAAAGAGGAATGTCAATAGCTTTCATACATTTAAGAGCTGTAGAAAGTTGCATGAAATGTTTTCCTAAGAAAAATTCATCCCATTGACCTTTTAAAGATTCACTCGGCATCGGAACGGCTGCTGGGCAAGTTTTACTGTATTAGTAAAAGCTGTTCAAAAAGGCGGGAAAATATTAGGTCACGTTTCCTTGCTATACCCACCTTTGTTCTCCATCTTGTGACACAGACAAATTTCAATGTGTGGTCCTTGCCTAGAATCTCTTGGTTGCATAGAATCTCCACCTAGAACAAGAGACAAAAATGCAAAACTGGTTATTGTAATACATCTGTGATGTGATCAAGCTAAATGAGTCGTTTGTCGGGAACTTTCATTTGGAGATTCAGGCCAAAATAGGGCCACTTCATCACATCACTTCATCACCTCTCTTGGTGTTCCGACTTACATAATTTTTGAACTAAAGATGGTATCAGCATGCGGTTTTCACAGCAGTAATACTGAGATTGTGCTCTTTTCAAATTTGTAAAAAAAAAAAAAATTGACCAGGGTTGACAAACGACTCATTTAGCTTGATCGCATCAGATATGTGGTGCAGGTACATGGCATTTTGTGCAGCCCAGAGAAGGGAATATGACACCTGAGGTAAAGCCGAAGGCAGCCATTTTCTGCCCCACAGGTGTATAAAAACCAATGGATAATATCATGAAAGAAGTTCATCAGGCTGGTGAAATTTCAACTTTGTAAAATGAATTTTCTATAAACACAGCCAAAATTACTTACGTGAAACTAGTCGAAACGTAAACGAAACTACGTAAGCAATTGGCTGTGTTTATAGAAAATTCATTTACAAAGTCAATGGATAATAATAACAATGGATGCTTATAAAGCCCTTTTAACTAAGATCAAAGCGCTTTACATTATTATTACTCCTGATCATTGGGCCAATGAGACATTCCAAATACCATCTCAGCTCCCTAGGGAGTATACAGCTTGATGCTGCCCGTTAGGCGCAAGGAAGCTAGAATCAATCACAATAACCATCTCTGCCTAGGAACCCATTTACTCCTGGGTGGGGAGAAGCAATGAGTGACAGAGTGTGCCATGCCCAAGGACACACGCACCATAGCTGCAGGCTGGACTCGAACCCACAACCTGCAGAATTATCCGCAGACTATGAATTCAATGCCCCAGACCACGAAGCCACAGCTCGCCAGCCAGCACAGAGAACACTTTCTTTAATGTCATAGCATCACAGGAATTGACTTGAGATTTGACCTGTGAGGTGATCAGCTCTAACAAAGACCGTCCAGCTGGAGTTTTGTGGCAACAAACCTGTTTTGATTATGCCACAATGTACCGGTAGCACTTGTGGCTTGAACTTCCTTGTGATTGAGTTGTGATGGACTTGACTACAGCTCTATGACTATGATGCATGGCAGCACTTTTTTGTGATGAAGCTTCTTTGCCACAAACATGTTTATGCCATTAATAGACACTTTCGGCATCCAGAAACAAATGTTTATCCGTATACATACAACATCTACTGTTATGTGTCAGCATGCGTGAGATCCCATTCAAATTTCAGTTTCGGCATGGAGCCTCTGAGTACACGTATTGCTGCAGAGGCAACCAAGTCACAATTTTGTGACAAAAAAATGCTCAAAAATCACAGGCCTTCTGCTGTGAAAAAAAATCACTCTTAAGAGCTTCCAATTGCAATCCGACATGCCTGGTACTTCATAAAATCAAGAATGAGTGGTTGATATAATTATTAAATTGGAAGAAATTTTGAGCGAAAAAAAAGACAGAAATTCATACAAATTGATCCCTTGTCAACAGGCTTCCTCACATAGTTCCTGTGTCATTTTCTCGCATCACGTAGGAGAAGAACAAACAAAGTGATAACGTCACAAGTGAAAAAGATAGGGGTACGTGATACGGGCGCAAATTTCAAACCTCACTTGTCAGTTGCCTTACGACTGACTTGTGATTTGACTTGTGTCTGACTTGCGCTCTGTATTGTGATTGGACTGGATTGCAACAGGGCCAATTTCATAGAGCTGCTTAAGCACAAAATTTGCTTAAGCACAAAAACGTCTTGCTTAATAAAATCAGGTTACCGGCCAAAACTCCATGCGATTGTTATGCTAAGTAAACAACAGCTAAATACCAGTCACAAGCAATGTACATCACATGGAGTTTTGGCCGATAACCTAATTTTACTAAGCAATGTGTTTTCGTGCTTAAGTAAATTTTCTGCTTAAGCAGCTCTATGAAATTGGGCCCAGCTGATGTGTAGCAGCCATCTTAGAGGGCATCTTTTGTTTTTTTAATTCAGTAACAATGAATGCATCAGACATGTTCATTCATGAATATCCCAGCAAAAAAACAAAGGCATTGTCCTCTAAGATGGCTGCTAAGCATAAGGTCTATTCTGGACTAATGTTGGGCAAACCCGACCCGAAACCGACCCGACCCAAAACTGATTTCGGGTCAGGTCGGGTCATTTTCATCATCATTTCAGTTGGGTTGGGTCGGTTTTGGTTTTGCGTTTGCAATTTACGGGTCGGGTTGGGTCGGTCAAGCCATCTTGTGAAAAACCAGAAATAAACCGAAATAAATCCAAAAAAAACAAAAAAAACTTAAACAGTTACGAAATTCACGCAGTGCAATATTATTGCAGAGTTTGTGCTCAGTACGACCAACGTCAACCCATCGGGCAAATGTGCATGTGGGTTGCGGTCTATCACGCGCAGTCTATAACGGTTTGCAGTCTATCATGAACAGTATATAATGTGTACGCTGTAAAGTTATGAGTCTTCACCGTATCATACGTTTCTTTACTGACAGACGATGATTTTCACGCAATGCGGGCAAGTTCAGGCACGTGCCACATATCTGGGGGGTTTTCGGGTCAGTTCGGGTTGGTGTGTGCTTGATTTTTGTCGGGCCGGTTTAGGGGAGTTCAGATCGGTTTCGGGTTGGATTCGGTTTATATCTATAATATTTGGGTCGGTTTGGCCTGGTTAATCCGACCCGATGCATAACATTATTCTGGACATCCAGTGACGTGCGGTGGCGCTCTTTACCTGGTGGAAGCCCTCCAGCTTGAGCTTCTTGGCCACAAACTTGCGGATGTGGTTGATGGTGGCCTGGGCGGAGATGCGGATGAACTTCTTGCGCAGCGGCCGCAGCTGCTCCGTATTGCACTCCAGGCAGATCTTGACCTGCTCGTCGCTACGGTGACAGTCCGCCTCATCCTCCTTGGTGATGCACTCATCCTTTGTTTCTTCTGAGGAGGCAAGGAGCAGGAAAGGACGAAAAAGGAAAGATTAGTTTTGTGCAATATGAGCTAGAGATGGCTTGATCAACCACTGACTATAGTTACAACAACTTTGGAGATTTCAAACCAAACACGCATGAAAGCTACAGGTATTTTTAATGTTTTTTTTTTCCCCTTCTCTTTTGGGGTTTCCCCATTTTGTAACCTCTACTTTTCCCCCTTATAACATGTGCATTTGGTAATTTGGTAAATTCACATTGTGGAAATTAATTGTGGAAATTAATATTGTACTTCTTGTCACAATATCACAGAGAACTCAAAATTTAAACGCAACAGAAATTTGCTGTAAAAATTTAGCCAATGCCTAAACTGCAAACCAACCCATCAGAACAGAATTAATCAGTGATGCAAATTAAAATAAAAAGCTATGAAATTACAAATGACTTTGTTTAGACAGTAACACTACAAAAAGATTACGCTGGTACAATTTTTTTTACATTCCTCATCTGAATACAAATTAATACATACATTTAATACATTAAATCACGGCAGTGGCAAGCTCTAGTTTTTATACACAGAGCTCCTCATCTGAATTTCAAATGAACAAGTCCTGCCCTGCGAAAAAATCCACCGGTTCATTTTAATTAACCAGTTGACAGAGTCCCAATATCCTGTAACTGCTGCTTAGGGGAGCGGCTACGCAAATCAGCGTGGGAGATATTAACCCACGGCTGCAGCTCCCGAGCTTAAAATGGGACCATTTATCACGGACGGTAAAATGTTCGGCCCAGCTAATGCACACTCTGCCTGGAGCTAGTCAGCTACGGGCCAGCAAGACATTCGTTCTGGGTGCTACAGTAAGTGCATATGTTTACATGCACTGTGCACTTGATGATGAGATAAAAGTCGTACCTACACAAACACACACACACACTGCTCAGTACACATTTAATTTTATTATTCAACACGCGACATTAAAGGGAATGTACAACATTTGCAAACATCGAAAAATAAAACTACCAAGTTTTTACAAAACACCATATTAGGATGTTGGTAAGTGACAGTCTAAAGCATCCTGTAAAATTATGGCACCTGGTGTCTAGTCATTTTCAAGAAAATTGTACTTTTGTATAAATTTCCAACGGTGGTCGGCCGACCATCGTTGGGAAAACCTAACTATTTTTCAACTACTGCTCCAAATTTACAAATTTTTTTTCAGTCCAAATTTTGTTTGCTATTGTTACATGTTCATGAACGGGTGCAGGCCAGCTAGACTGGTTCCCTTACCTTACAATTTTCCGACAACTATAAATTGATCCACTTTATCTTTAGTGGAGTCAGGGAACCAGACTACTTAAACAATTTTTGTTTTTCTTGGTTTTTCAAGCATTTTCAAAACACAAAATTTCAAACATGTTAGTTAAACAATATTTGATCTATAATATTAACCCCTCAAATAGTTCATTTCTGAAAATTACAGCAAAAGCCAATGATGTACATTCCCTTTAAGCTCCGTAACAATTGCACCGTTATGCCCATACTTACAGCACATCATGTATACACAGCCGAGTCTATTCCTACACACATGCACTGCATGCACACTGTCCCCATGGCTAATCTATCCACTAAGTGTGAAAGGGGCCAAGCTTTTTGTCCATGTTACAGGGCCCCTCGAGCGTGTAAGAGTCCTGCGCTCATATCAATGGGTATGCAATTCGAGGGCCGGCGTGGAGTTCCGCTTTGAAAGAAAAAAAGGATTTTCGGCCTTTTGGGGCGGATGATGCGTTCGGGCATCTGGGGTGTAAATGAGCATGCCCAGCCTCGGGCGGTGTCCTAAATAAACGGGTACTCCGAAGGAAAGAGGGGGATGGATGGATGAATGGATGGATGGAGGAAAATGTGTAATTGATGATGATTGTATAGTGCAGGGACATTCTCTACATGTGCCGTGACTGCACGGTTGGAATTTTGAAGGGTGTCGGGGAGACACATGTAGTCACTTTTTAAGAAGATACCGAGTTGAACTGATGAAACACAGCATTGCCATGGTTACTGCTCATTGCTCGTAGAGAAATGTTTCCAGTATCTTGGGGATGTTGTTGAAGGCAATAGAGGAGAGTCCCGATATTCGGAAGCTCGTTAACTCTAATATACCCTGCTGTTTGTGCAAATGATAAACCCTCCTATGCAAACATACATTCTATGCAAGTTGTCCTTTCAGTCAAAATCAATCAAGTGACTGTTTTCTTCAGTTAGGAGCTCCCAGCCTACATAAAGCAGGATTGACTGGCTGTGACTGTCTATATAACTTGATACAGCTATGCTTTGACTGTAGGTGACTGATAAGTCAGCTGTGCCTACTTCTTGCCTGCTTTTGTCTGTTGACTAAATTTGACTAGTCACAGTGCTTACTTGAGATATGATCTGACTGTTGGTGACTAGCCTGTGTAAAAGGCATGGCAGGGGAAGAGGATTGATTTCTTTTGACTATCTGTGACTGTTCAAACAGCAGGAGGGTTAAATGGTTACTGAGTTGAACTGATGGAATACAGCATTGCCATGGCAACTGCTGATTGCTATTACAGCAATGTTTTCAGTATCTTGGGGATGTGGTTGAAGGCAGTAAAGGACTCCACACATTTGGAAGCTCGTAAACATCGCTTGCTTGTTGTGCGAAATGATCAATGACGTGGAAATCGACAATCTACTACAAGCAAGTAATGTACATGTACAGTTGAGAGGACAACATATTTAAAGCTGCGTTCGACATGCTCTTCGACAAAATTCAATATTTTCTATCAAGAAATTTTCAACTTGTATGTTTGATTAAAACCCCCAAATCCCTCTCCTTTTTTTTTCTCTCCATTTTTTGGTGAGCGGACGTCTGCAACTCTCTGAAAAAAGGGTTTGTGCTTTAGCCAAAAACCGATCCACTTGCTAACAGACTGGCTCCCAGTCCATACATTATCGATACTGATTGTGAGGGGGGGGGGGGGGGGAGAGGGGGAACCGGCCTACCCCACGACAACAGAATTATTGTCTGGCAGGAAATAATTGGAAATTGTAAAGTAATAATTGATAATTCAATAAGTAAACAAGGGCCATTCAAAAGTGAACAACTTTTGTAGTACTAGAAAAAGCACTCGGAACTGTCTCTGCTTAAAGGTGATATACAGCATTTGCTTTTGCTGTACTTTTCAAAAATGGATGGATTTGGGGGTTAGTATTTTATAGCAAATATTGTTACACTGACCTATCTAAAGTTTTGTGTTCATAGATGCTGGAATAACCAAGAAAAAAATGCTTCTCTTGTAGTCTGGTTCCCTGACCCTACTTCAGATGAAACGGAGCAATTTGTAGACGTTGGTGAATAGTCAGGTCAGGGAACCAGACTAGCTGGCTTGCACCCGTTCACAAATGTGTAAAAAGATTTCAAACAAAATGTGGACTAACTAAATTTGGTAAATTGGGGGCATTATATTTGACCGAAATCTTCTTTTTTTCCCCAAAGATGGTACAATTGATAAAAAAATCCCGCTTTTCTTGAAAATGACAGCACACCAGGTGCCATGACTTAACAGGATGCTTGAGACTATTATTCACTAAGTCAAATAAGGTATTTCATAATAATTTGGTAGGTTTGCTTTTTGATGTTTGCAAATGTTGTATATTACCTTTAAACCCCAAACTGATATGTCATTTTAATATGTAAACATAAACAAAATAAACATCAGAATGAAAACTGAAACCCTACTCCAGGATGTGTGCTCACGATTTGATTGTTAGTGTTTCCTTGTAGCACAGACGAGTGCAGTGTAAATGATATACCACAGTATACAAATATAACACGGTTTGAGGTTGGACAGTCGATATTCACTCCCCAAGGTATTGGAAGTTGACAAACTAGTTCCCGGGGCAAAGCTGAGGGAACTAGTTTGTCAACTTCCAATACCGAGGGGAGCTAATATCGACTGTCCACCCGAAATAAACCATGTGATATTTGTTTTACTATACCTCATACATATTCAGTTGCTGATTTTTTTATATATGCACCTAAAACAAAGTTTTGGAGAAACTTGTACAAATCACCAAAAGAATATTGTTGCTCAACTTCACTATTTCGGTTCGTTTGCAATACATTAACTACAGTTGTAAATATACAGTTGTTTGTGTTCAACTTTCTTTTGTATAGGAGGCATCTTAATTGTCCATAAATTTTCTCCAGTACGGCATCATTGAGCTCGGGAAAATTAACATAAATGCGAACCTTTCAACCATGCATCTCTCTTGGGCGATGTTCGCGCACGCGTGCGTACTACACCTGTGCGACAGTTCCTCGATTGCTTTGTAAAGCGCATGCATAGTAGACTGTCGCACGGGTAACCCGTGGGACAGTCTACTATGCATGCGTATTTTACCCTGTGAGAGAATCCTCGCGCACGATTGGTAAACGGCAAGAATAACACCTTGCACGTGATGGTGAACTGACCAGTGAGAGTTCGGCTCTCGATCATGAATGGGTATGAGGTATAGTAACATTTCATGCAAGCTTATGTTCATTGCATTTTTTTAAATTTAAATGTTTAGTATCAAAAATCTGTTAGTTCTAATATAAAACAGTTACATGTCTAGCATACATGTATTGCTTATTTAAAACTAGCCTACAAAACACTAAAACCTATTATGAACCTATTATCTAATTAAAAAGGCCTAAAATTACAGAAAGTGAGGGAAAAAATGGCTTTGCGATGCTGTTATAGTCAATCCATAGCTACAACAAATTGCCCCCAAACCAAAATGAACCCTTGTATCCCTGTTCTAACACATATAACCCTCCTACTATTTAAACAGTCACAGACAGTCAAAATTTCCACCCAATTTCCCTGCTATACTTTTAACACAGGCTAGTCACCAACAGTCAGATCACATGTCAGGTAAGCACTGTGACTAGTCAAACTCAGTCAACAGACCATGAACAGACAAAGCAAGCAAGTTGGGAGCACAGCTGGCTTATCAATTACCCACAGTCAAAACAAAGTTGTATCAAGTTACATAAACAGTCACAGCCAAACAATCCTGCTTTGTGTAAGCTGGGAACTCTTAACTGTTGAAAACACTCACTTGATTGATTTTGACTGAAAGGTTAAATTGGCTAAGCGGTACTTTCCTCGTCTCCCACCGCTGTGACCCGGGTTCGAATCCTGCCTGGGCCAATATGTGGATTGGGTTTTCAGTCCCTACCTGATTCCGTGGGTTTTCCTCAGAATATTCTTTTGGGGTTTTCCTCCCACCTCTAAAACTGTAATTTCTTCTCATTGTCTTCTCTCCACAAGTTTTTTCAGGCTTGCGAGCTACAGTGCCCAGAGCACTTTTGAGGAATCCTTGGTTTCATTACCAGAAATAATTAATTTTATAAAAAGAAACAAAAATTCAACCTTCTTCACTCATCGTACATGTAAGTTATTTTCACTCATACAAGTATTTCCTTCAAAGGCAGGGTAGGTTTCGAGCAAATCATTGGCCTCTCTAAATATTCTGGATAACAAGTCTCGCATGTAGTTTGTGAAAAAAAACACAATTTGTCTGCCCGAAGACGAAAAATTGTATTCATTTTTTCTGTTCACGTTTGCGGTACACTCAACATTGAAGCATGTTGGCTGCCTCTATGCCTTTCATCTTCTCCGCTGCATTTTTTACTTCTTCACATAATTATACACAATTCAGTAATACATAATAACTAAATTGCATATCCCACGCCACTTCACTCATAAATCATTCACAGTAGTCATTCCATTTGACAATTGATGAATCCGGACTCTGGGAGAAGAAAAAAAAAATCTGGATCCCAAACGGACTTTATCAAGGAAAAAGTGACTGTCGAGACACGATGCATCAGCTGTCTCGCTAATACATCCTGACAAGTGCACAGACCCACGCATGAGGTCTCAATGGAGACTCTACCTGCCTGGCCACAAGTTTTTCTTATGCAACGAAGCATAGCCACTGTCATGAGGTGTTCTGGTAAAAATGTGACAGAACTGGGCACAGGCCGAAGTGGAGAAAAATGAAAAAAAAAAAAAAATGAATCAGGGTAACTTTTTTTGATTTTCCGAGTTTTTGATATTTTTAACTTGATACCGGTACACATATAAGAAATAGTATAAAAATCGTGGAATAAAACTGTTTTCAAGGGAAAACATTGGCATCTTTCATTTTCATAAATAAAAAACTCGAACTTTTTTTCAGTATTTTACTTTTTGACATGCCAATAAAAGCGAACTTTAAACAGCCATAACTTGTCAACAGATTGTCCGATTGAAGTGCAACAAACAGTAGGGGCCTACTGAAAGGAGAATTTTAGTCTCTTTGCTAAACCAACAGATCCTCATTTCAACCTCTGCCCAGTTCTGTCTCATAACGTCTCAAATTTTTGTACCAGTATATATCAACATACATGTATATAGATTGAAATGTTTTTTTAATTTAATTTGAGATTTCTTAATAAGTTTTGAATTCCAGGCAAAATCTGAGGGAAAAGGTAGTGCAATTGGTAAAAAGTGTTGGTTTCTTCCCATTTTTCCCAATATTTTTTTGTCTTGTTCTATTTTTCACACAAAAAAACATGAATTGTCAACATATCTGTTTGTTCAATACTTTTCAGTGAAGATTTTATCTTTTTTTTTCAGGAAGATCTTTTCAAATGTTAGGAGGATCTTTTTACATGGAAGTAAAACCCCAAGAACCATTCCATTGACAACTGAAGCACGTACTTACAGTAACTATAAATGGTTGCAGAAAAAAAAATTGCTGCATGGGCACTTCAAGCCGTGATGGGGAGTCAAGCTCTAGACACTTACCTTCTTTCTCTTCCGGCTCTTTCTTCCCGAACGACTCGTAGAAAAGCCTCTCTTTTTTCTTCTCGTCTAGAGGGAACAGAAATGTGTAACACAGGGATTGAAAGCCTGCCGAGTACCGGTACATGACTTTAGTGGTGTGAATTTACTGGTAGTACCCGAACCGGGTACCATATTGTAAATAAGTAAGTACCATAAGTAAAACCCAGGTATCCGGGTACCCGTAAAACTAGCCCAACCCCAAAATTCAAATTCCGAAATTCCAAAAGGTCTGAAGGGCTTTATAGCTTTATGGTGTAAACTGCAACTTTTAGAAGCATCATCTGTCGCATGTTAAAATGCACATAAACGTGAAATCTGTTTTGGTTTTCCATGTAGCCTGGTTTTCATTTTAGAAATTCCCTACCAATGGCATTTAAAAAAGCTTTCTTTTTCATTGTCTGAGAAGTTACTAAGAAATTTGTTAAGTTGGGTATGGGATCCGATAATCTAGAACCGGTTCCTGACATCAGCGGTCAGGTACTCGCGTACCCGGTTGAGATGTAAACCTCTCCATGAGTTATTGCAGTATGTCTTCTCGCTACTCAACTGCGTATGCGTGCACTGATGCGGGTCACAGGTCTTTGGGATAATTGGATGCTCATTGAAGGTGCATGAACGCGCAAGGAGACGCTTGCATGATGCTCGCATGACGCTCACATGTTAATTACAAGCAGAGTGGGCGTTCGCGTAACATCGCGTCCGCCATTTTATCCCAAAAGCCCTTTTACCTGGACTAGTACTTCATCGAGGTACCGAACTGGCTTATTCAAAGCATGATTAGCCCACAACTTAGTCCCCACAATGCTCAATGACAACTTAAAACAACAAGCTTTTTTGGGGGGGGGGGGGGGAGACCGCACCCCTGCCTGCATCAGTCTTAAACTGGTACTCACTCTGAAGTAAGTCGGGAACCAGCTTGTACACAATGTCCTGCATTGTCCTGTCAAAACTGCAACAAAATTGAAATAATCTAAATAAAATTGAAAAACATCTGCAACGTCAATCATATGAGTTGAATGGTTTCATTGTCTGTCAAATGCCACTTTTTTTTATCAAAACCAAATTTACACGCATATGATTTGAGAGCTTCCATGAGGAATATTTGCTGAAATTTCTTCTTCAAAATCAGTCAAATATGAGCCATTCATTGAAATTATTATTTTCATATGCTCTTTGTTAACTTTCGTCAAGCAAATCACATATCCCGATCAACTCCCGTTTACTCCAGAGCATGTAAAACTTGATCATCGCATTTCGAATAATCGCTCAAGTCCAAGACAGAATAATCAAATACTAAATTATTGGAAATACACAGCCCTACAGACCAACACTAACTATAGGTTGCTTTGAACCTTCCCCTTGAAAATATATAAATGAAATTAAGAGAGAATTAATTGACTATAGATCACTTATAAAATTTGTCAGTTCAGTTTCAGGTAACGAACCCGACAGAATGGAATGGGCCTTATTCACGAGTCGGCCATTTTTTGTCGAGTTCCCTGAATGTTTTTCATTAATTGTTAACTGTTGAATTGGATGGCGCCAGACTATTTATGCAGGCACAAACAGGCTTTGTTTCTTTGGGTACCCAGTGCCAACGCACAGGAACAGAGTTATTCCTGTTAGTGTGCCCTTAACCATAACCTTCCTCAATTTACCAAAATCCTCCAAGCGGTTTTGGAGAAGTTTGGACGATTGAGGCTGAATGGCAAAAAAGTGTCCGTTGCTTTGGGAAGATGCATTGTGTGAGTTCCTACGACGTACACATTTTGTACCCTGCATTGTTTATGTTTAGTCATGCATAATTGAGCCCTGCATTACATGTTACTCGATATCATCGGCACTGCTTCTGAATGTCATCTGCACTGCCTCGACCCATTAACAGTGATTATATTCAAGGATCTGGAGGAAGTGGTCACCTCTCCAGTCCACTGAACAAATTCAAGAAATAACAGACGATTTTGGGAGGATTGAGGCTGAATCCAATTTTTACATGGTGACAACTGGAGGATGTTGCAGGATTGAGGATGGTTCCTAGACAAACGGACCTAGGGGGTTAGGGTTAAGGAGGCATTTCAATGTCTCTCTAATGTCACAACTCCTATTTAGAGGCAAAATAGGCTAGATCCGTTACTCGTGGTCCAAAACCTAAAGATACCAAAATTTGTTGGGGTGGGATAAAGGGAAATGAGGTACCGGGTAAGGATCATCGAAGTTGGAAAAAATTGTGAACAATCCTATGGGAATGTCTCCCAAGGTACCATTTCCCGTAAACATTATATTCCTCTAATAATTAAATAATCACATGTTGACCAAAATCATTCCCACATGATAAAAAACTATCAAATATTGTGAGCTACAGTGATAATAAATGCATAAACCCACATCAAATAAAATTATGCACGTACGTGCATACTCCGAAACGACAGTCGCGACAGACTCATTACTTGCCAATAATGTCCTGAGAGAATAACTGCGTGCCCTAATTACGTAGTCTCTTGTGGCCCTTTCCCCCCATCGAGTCTACAACATTAATATATCATGCTCAGTTGCTCACCAATCCTGAAAAAAACTGTTATCAACTACAAGACACTGTTGATAATATTGTTGTTTTTGAAGGAGAGTTTATTTTAAATTATGAAACTAAGGATTCTTCAAACTGGCCCGCGGAACTGTATTGTACATGTACATGCACTGTACATGAAGCATTTTGTAAGCGGGAAACCAGTGAAATAAAATAGTGTACCGGTACTCTTGTTTTTAAAATATACCTTGAAGGTAATATACAACATTTGCTTTTGCTCTAATTTTCAGAAATGGATGGATTTGGGGGTTAGTATTTTATAGCAAATATTGTTATGACCTGTTTAAAGTTTTGTGTTCACAGATGCTGGAAAAAACCAAGAAAAAGCACTGAAATCTGATTATGTGATAACATGCCAGCAAACCCAGTGGAGGATTTCGAAGGTTCCAGACAGAGGCCTCCTGCAACAAAAAGTTGATGATTTTGAAGGATTCAGGTGCTTAAAATGAAAGACTATAAAAGTCCCTTGTAAAAGACTAGTTTATAATCATCCAACAACTCCCATAAAATCGCACCAACTGCACCGTACAATCATTCAGTCAAATCATTCAGCTGTCCACCGCAGTCGTTTGCCATGGCAACCACAGTGACAAGTTCCACAATGTCTTCCCAGCAACACACCAGCCCATAGATTAAAGGGAAAGAGGTGACACTAATGTCACAGTGTGACATTTATGTGTATATATAAGTTTCTAACTGGCCTGCTCCCTGTAACAGAACCAATTTGCCAGGGGACCCAGTGACATTTGAAAAGCGGCAGCTGGTTAATATTGATGAAATAATTCCTTTCCCCCCATTGCCAGCAGGTGGCTAGACTCTTGAAAATTCACGGGCCTGTCACTAGGGGGAAAAAAATAGAGACAGTGAACTTTACAAAGGTTTCTGTCATGGAGGGCGGCCGCAGGTTGAATGCAACTTGTCAGAATCTGGATATGAATTTAGAAATAAACTGAGAATGAATCATTCGGGTGTTGGCAGCTCTGCGTTGGCTGTTTAGGATTATTTATGTGCCAGATGATAATTGATGATAAATATGGAACTTCCATAATTGTGTCAAAGCACGATAAATCATTTCCCCAAACCCTGGCTGCCCGGGATGGTGTGAAAAAATACTGGAATGTACACACGTTATGTTTGATTTGAGATAAACTATTGTAAATCAAGAAGTGTTCGTCGTAAATGTCCCAGACGGTGGTGAATATTCTTAAAACCTAACTTTGTCTTCATTTCTCATGTCTCTGCACGCATACTGTATTAAAGTGAAGAACTGCTATTACGGTCAACGTATTTAACAGATTAGCCAGGAATTTCAGCTGGTGCACATGTGCGTATGTAAATGTAATCAGATTATGTATGTACATGTACGTGGTTTGCGATATATTTTCAACTGCTATAGATCGTTACGGCATTGCATAAACACTCTTGCGAATCTATCACATTTATAACTACCTGTTCAACCAGAGCGATTCGGTTGCTCAATACCGGGATCGAATCTGCGCTGCGCAATATTTTTTTCGTTTTAAATAGTTTTCTTTATTTTCATGTTTTTAATCAAATTTCTTTTTACTGAAGTAGATTTCATTTCCTTCTTTTTGGTGGCTTTGGAGAATTTTGTTTTAAAAGGGAAATAAAGTCCGAGAACCATTCGGCTGATAGACAGGTTCCCAACAGCCAAAGATCCTGACGTTGAATACTTATAAGGTCAGGGAATCAGATGGTTGATATAGACTTGCAAATGGTGTATTTGCCATGCCGTAACGATAGCAGTTGAAAATTGCATTGCGGCTGCCGTAACAATAGCCATGCTGCCTTGTAAATAATTTTTTCTAGTTCTGTCAGCACAGAATATATCTCTCACATGCAAAGACTTACATGTATGCAGTAAGCAAAGAATTATGCAGCTGAAACCTGGCATACACGATAAAATATCTGCTTTACTTCATTCATGGCCAATGGAGTAAGCAGATACATGCATCTCTCGTACGCGGTTGATTTTACGAAAGATGTTTGTCATTCCTGGCGCTGCGGCGATTATCCAACGTGTTTTATAATTTTTGCCACATGTGGAAAAAAAACTGACGGTGTTTTTCAATTTTTAATGGCAGACAACGGAATTAAAACAAATGAGGAAATCACTATGTACAACACTTTCTACACGATGATGCCTGCTAGCTGGAGATGGCAAAAAAAAATCAGTACAAATGTCACAGCCAAATACATGTATATTCCATGTATTTTCAAGAAATCAATTCCATACAAAACGAGTTACTGAGATGGCAAAAAAATCAGTACAAATGTCACAGCGAAATGTATTCCATGTACAATTCAAGAAATCTATTCCATACAAAACGGGTTCCTGCATAGTTTTCTTTAAATAATTCCTTCAATTGTACTCCCATGACAGTACAAAGCTTTAGGTAGCCTCACAATATTTTGACTTCACAGTTGTTCTGTCCTCATCCTTCTCACTCACACACGTAATCTGTCATAATCCATCAGGAGTGAGGTCAATGCCCTGCAAGTCAGAGTGGTCAACGACAGATTCACTTGTCCTCCTCATGATGATGAAGTCAGGGTGAAATACTGCATCCTTGCAGTTGATGCATTGACTGCCCTAATGCATATTTTCAAAAGAGTCCTCCAGGGCTTATAAATTCGTGGCATGAAAGGACGGGGTATATTTTCCAGTCCTCTTGGATGGGAGGCAAGTCTATTGCATGTTAATCCCCAGTTAGTACATTCATGTACCTCTGGGTGGAGAGATGCAAGTGAAGGTGAAGTAGATTGCCCAAGGACACAACATAGATCTGTATGACAAGCAGCAGGATTCATCTGATGGCAGTGGTGTAACTATGTGGGGGGAGGGGGAAGGGGGAAGGGGACACGTTCCCCCCCCCCACCCCGGTTGTTAAAATCCTGAGATTTATAATATACTTATCGCAAAACACTCCAGTGGCCCATCATATCGATCGCCGCACCCAAAGTTTAACTGGTGCGCTTTGCGTGCAAGTTTTGGACAAGCACGGCACGCACTTGTAGCTGGCAAATGTAAAACTTGATCAGGGGTTTCGAATATTCAAATATTCTGTCAAATGCAATTTCGAAAAATCAATTACTAAATTATTCGAAGATAGACAGCCCTATTACAGCCGCCACTGGGCATGGTACCTACATGTACATTTGTACATGTAGATCTAAAAAGGGAATATACTGCAGTTTTGAAATTCCACACCAAAATGTTTCGGTATTTTGTATTTGAACATCCTCCAGTATTGTTCGTTATACCAAACTGTAGTCGCTATACGGTATACGTGTAAAGGTACCACATTATCATAATTTCTTCGCACGATGGGAGACATCGGTCATTAGGGAGACATTTTCATATCTCCCTAATGTCACAGCCCCCCTTTAGAGGCACAATTTAATTGTTGCAATTAGGTAATATTTGTTGCTCGTTGTCTAATTAGTAATTAGGAATTCATGGAAAAAAGACAAGGGAATATTGGGTCAGGGCACATTTCAGTTTGAAAAATCTCACAAGTCTATGGGGATGTCTCCCAAATGACCGATCCATTGTAATTATTATTACCAAAATATCATCTAAACCTATCGCTTGAAAGCTTCATGTACATAATGTAGGACCCTACACACACCAAGCCATAAGCTTGACTTACCCGACATAATTGAGTGGATGGCTTTGGTGGATGACAAGGTGACAGATGGGGCAGGTGTTGTTCTCCTCCAAGAACTTCACCAGACAGCTTTTACAAACTGCAGACAGAATGAAAGAACACAAACCACAGGCACAAGCGTTACTTCAAAATCCACGTACACCGTCATCTGAGACAGTTTATGATCCAGAGACCCTCAGACCCCGGTTTTAAATATAAAGGGAATAAATATGTGCTTGGTCGGTTTGAAACACTATGCTATGCTGGGTCATTATCAGCGTCCAGACTCCAAACCGGTCTTAAACACAGTGTTGTATACTGGCCAAGCACATATTTATTCCCATTCATAAAAAACAAGTAAAACATTTCATAAGATGGAATTTGTTGCGTCGGGGTGATGTAAATCTAATTAGTTTTTACCCTTCACTGACGTATTAACAGTGTAGTGTGTTACCTCCCGAGTAAAAGTTGGCTGGTTCGAATCTAATGTACATAGCAGCGGGTACCATGTAAACTATTCATAAGATGGAATTTTGTGCGTCGGGGTTGAAAAACAATTTTTGACCCTCGGGTTGGCATTTTTACAGATTTGCCCACACCGTAGGTCACTTGTGGATTTTGGAAGATATGGAAGGGTTAGGAAATGAAGGATAAAACAAATAGTATTGTTGGTTCCCATTAGTGCTGTATGCATCTTTTGACTTTTTGTTTTTAATCCGCTGAACATTTTGAAAAATTTTTTTTATTGGGAGTCCCACATTTTCAGACTAGAGCAGAACCATTCCATGATTTCTTTTTGAAAGTATTTTCTCCTTCATAAATATATATACGCAAGTTTTATCCAAACCCCCTGGGCCTTTTTTGCTAGGAACTATATCCTCAATCCTCCAACACGTTTCACTTGTGTTCAAATGAAGAACACCCACTGCCTCAATCCTTTAAAATCCTCCAACAGCCGTGCCTCTCAAAATGCATTCAGCCTCAATCCTCCAAAATCCTCCTCTTCTTCAAACATCGTTCAGCCTCAATCCTCCAAATCAACCAATACTGAATGTCCACATGCCCTCAATCCTACACAATCCTTCAAAATTGTATGTTGCATCATGGTTGCATTCAGCCTCAATCCTCCAAAATCATCCACAACTACCCGGGGGACTTTGGAGGATGGAGGAAGGTTTAAGGGTTAACGCTTAAAAACATTCCACTGGGGGAGATTCCTCTTAAGTCTGAAAATGAAACCCCTTCAAACCCTCTCAATCCACCCTCCTACATGCACTTATTCCAACTTGTTACAAAGATTGTAAGCCTGAGCATGCATGTATGTCTGGTATGCAGGCCACCTGACCCTATGTGACCTCTACAAGTGTCAATCAATGCTCCACTGTCACAACACACACACTCGGGCACTGTTAAACCAGTCAATACATGTAAAGCTCAACTCAGTGAGTCAATACCACACGCCAACATGATACTCTAAAAGTGAATTCAAAAAGCTACATGTAGCACCCAGCCGTGCAAAAGAACAAGTGCATTCCGCCTGATGATCGCCACGCAGTGTGCGTGTACGTGAAACCAATGGTAGCAGAATAGACTGAACTAATAAATGTTACATGCACAAATTTACACGCACACGCGCTGTGTACAAACAATACTGGTATGCTACATTTGTTTATCGTGTTTTTTTTTCTGTTGAAGCGCCATGAGCGCCTTCGAATTAGGTGGATGTGCGCGCATCATTATTATTATTATTACATTACGTACGTGTGACGAAGCAAAATTTTCATTCTGACGAAGTGACAAATATCGTTAGTACTTAATCAATGTCTCCTATCAGTTATCGCATCAGTTGCATTTTTCAATTTTGGAGGAGAATATACACGAAAACGCTACTTGCAAAATCGACCAACTTCAAACGCGATTTTCTCTAAACTTGGTTTTGCAGCTGTGTGCGCAGGTTCGTCACTTCATCAAAACGTTGATGATATGCACGTATTCCGTATGCGCATAATTTCTAATGGTCCCTTCTATCAGGCGACAAGGTACCGGTACACTGCACCGCTCTACGAGTACGTATTCTCATCTGTTGGCAGTGTTACAGCATTTTACACAAACACTATATACCAGTACAATTAAATACCCCAAGGGCAATTGCGATCAATTCCATAAAGCACTGGGCCGTTGCTCATAACAAGAGCTAAATTGATACTCTATTCAATTTTTATCCACGCTATTTGTGATATTTCAGTCAGCCTGTCCATATCAAACAGCTGGGTGTCATAAAATATGACCTGCTGGTGGGGCTGGGCTGTTGATAATCAGCAGAGGAAGGATTTGTATAGTGTAATGGGTACCATTACAAAAAAACCTGCTCATTTGATCATATTTGTAATGAGCGATAGGGCATGTCGTCAGTGTTTTCACGAAGTGACAAAAACCCTAATATCATGCAAAAAAGTCATTCCGAGATAATCGCCTTTGAAGTTAATCATTTTTTCAAAACACCTTTTCGACTAGTTTTTAGTTATGGATTTCAGATATTCTTGCATTGTTAATTAACGTATGCTTTGTTCTGTGCTAATTCAAAGTTGTTTATTAGAAGTCTCTCTTAATTAAGCTGTAACTCATTAATAAAGATCTATAAAACTTTTGTTCAGTTCGTGAAAACAGCAAAACACAGAGGCCTCACTATTTTGAAAACATAAAACGTTCTAAGAAATTGTTACATTTGTGCGTCTGACGTCACTTAAGCGCGTGCGCGTCTGTTCTTTATCAACATCGTTCACGGCGTGCGCATCCAATCCCGCCCAATCCCATCCCAAAGTGTGTGTAGAGAAATGCTTTATTCCTCTGGCCCTGCTAACGAGGTAAGTTTGTGTCACTTCGTGAAAACAGAAAAACACGGATTTTAGGCATTTTGTCAAATGTTTGTTTACGATAACTACAAAAGTAAACAATATTTCGCTTTGGAAACTCAGCCAAATTCTTCCTTTTGTCAAATGCAATAAATTGGCCGGCAAAACTCAAAATCGAAAAAAAAATTGGGAGGTTTTTGTCACATCGACGATGTGTATGTGTGTACTTGTACAATAAGAAGTAAGGGTGTGACTTCGCGTTTAATTTTGTTAACGTTGAATTAGCAAATATTTCAAATACCATTTAAACATACGAACGTTTAGCCAACTCACAATGGCTGACACCTGACCCATTATGTCTGCAGACCGATGATTGTCATGATAAATCAACAATGATTAACATGATTGACATGAATAACAGCGGGTAGTCATTGAAAAAGCAAAAACTTAACTATGTGTATCCCGAATGTAACCAAACACTGCAGTGCTTCTAAGGTTTTTGTAAATTAAAATTTAAATACGATAGGTTTGAAAACACCGTTAACCCTAACTCCCTAGCATGATTTACTAGGAACCATACCCATCCTGGCAAATTCCGACACCATATGGGAAACTGCACACACAAATTTCTGACTTTGATTCTGGAGGTGTGCCAACCCAATGTAAAAGACTGTCAGTTTAGGGGTACTGTACGGGCCCTGACAGATTCCAACAAAACATGCCGTTGGGGTTTGATGGGTTGAGTTCTGTTGGGGTTAATATTGCACTATGTCCGTTCAACTCAAAGGAAGATCGCATGAAGGTAGATTTTTTTTTTTTTAATTTGGGTATCGCTGCAACAATTTTTAAACATTTGTAAACAGATTTAAAATGTGTTTAAATGTGTAAACATCACATCCTGAATAAGTAGAGTTCCCATTAAACCTTTTTTTGGGGGGTAACATTTCTATGACTCTCTGTCAAGTGGAGAACTAAGATCCCATATCAACTATTCATGTCACTTTGTGTGTTTTTTAAGACCAAACCCATGATAAACACCTTTCTTTTCTGGTGAGCTACTGTAGTACAAATGCATTCATGAGCATGAACAGCAGCAACCCAAACAGATTAGTGATGTTCCATTTGTGTAAACGCCTCATTTGATTTTTACGAGGTTCTTCCTGTCATAATAAAAATGAATATTACAAGGTACCGAAGGTCGTTTATTATTATTATTTTTTATAGTCTTAGTACAGTACCGTAGGTACATACGTATGTATACTGTATGTACACAACTGTGCAAATGATGAATGAAATTCGAAATTTTAAAATCTGGTTATCCTTTTTTCAAACCAAATAACGGTTATCTGATTTTACCAGAGGTTCCCATTCAGCTCACAGTCATGCCAACAAAAAGTGAGGTCTGAGGTGCCGCATGCAATGCCCTCCACAACGATTGGGTATAGTTTGCAGGATTCAATGACCACTGGGGCCTTGATAAAACACACTCCAGGGTTTTACTGGTGAAATAAAGTGGGTGGGGTCAGTCAAATGAGCAGGCTATTCATGAACCACGAAGAAGAAGACCATGGTAGTTATATTTTATGGGGAACTTAGGGGTCTCGTTTTTGGACAATTTTCCGGGGACAGATCCAGATTGACACATATATGCAAAATAGACGCAAATGGGCATTGGTCGAGACAAAGCCTGTTTTCCAAAAACTTTCGTCAAGAGTGCATTAACTGACGACGGCATGGCATTTGGTCAATTTTTGGTCAAGTATTTTAGGTCAATTTTTGGTCAAGTATTTTTAGGTCAGTTTTCAGGGACAAACAGACAGACAAACAGACAGACCGACCGACCGACCACCAAGTGACATGCAGAAGCTCCTGCCAGAGCTTAAAAATGGAAGGCTTACATTTTTTTTCAAGGTTGGGTTTCGAATATCCGGTTTCCAAAATCCAAACCGAATAGTGGAATTCAAACCGAATTTTTAACAATCCGGTTTTAAACCCAGCACTAATGCAGTGCTAGGATTTCCTTGACTCTTTCGTGTTCATGAGTTATGATTGATTTTGCAGCACAATTTCATCTATCTTTCCAGTACTGGCACGGGCTTAAACATGAAGTGCAATCCGTTGGGACCCCAATGGAAATAAGCCAGGTACCATAATTGGCTTTAGAGAACTTCCCTAGCATAATAGTCTAGCCTTTTGAATTTACATTTGTATTGTGTGTGGTGCAAGTTGCTGATTTTATCTGGGGAAA